ACACTTCAGTATGTACACACTTCAGTATGTACACTTCAGTATGTACACACTTCAGTATGAACACTTCAGTATGTACACAATTCAGTATGTACTCAGTATGTACACTTCAGTATGTAATTAGCATGTACACTTCAGTATGTACTCAGTATGTACACTTCAGTATGTACACACTTTAGTATGTACACTTCAGTATGTACACACTTCAGTATGTACTCAGTATGTACTCAGTATGTACACACTTCAGTATGTACACTTCATTATGTACACACTTCAGTATGTACTTAGTATGAACACTTCAGTATGTACTCAGTATGTACACTTCAGTATGTACACACTTCAGTATGTACACTTTATTATGTACTCAGTATGTACACTTCAGTATGTACTCAGTATGTACACTTCAGTATGTACACACTTCAGTATGTACTCAGTATGTATACTTCAGTATGTACACACTTCAGTATGTACACACTTCAGTATGTACACTTCAGTATGTACACACTTCAGTATGTATTTAGTATGTACTTAAATTAGTATGTACACTTCAGTATGTACAAATTTCAGTATGTACACACTTCAGTATGTACACACTTCAGTATGTACACTTCAGTATGTACACACTTCAGTATGTCCACTTCAGTATGTACTTAGTATGTACTTAGTATGAACACTTCAGTATGTACTGAGTATGTACACTTCAGTATGTACTTAGTATGAACACGTCAGTATGTACTCAGTATGTACACTTCATTATGTACACACTTCAGTATGTCCACTTCAGTATGTACTTAGTACGTACTTAGTATGAACACTTCAGTATGTACTCAGTATGTATTCAGTATGTACACTTCAGTATGTACACTCTTCAGTATGTACACACTTCAGTATGTCCACTTCAGTATGTAGTTAGTATGTACTTAGTATGAACACTTCAGTATGTACTCAGTATGTATACTTCAGTATGTACACACTTCAGTACGTACACTTCAGTATGTACTCAGTATGAACACTTCAGTACACTTCAGTATGTACACTTCAGTATGTACACAGTTCAGTATGTACACACTTCAGTATGCACACACTTCAGTATGTACACTTCAGTATGTCCACACTTCAGTATGTACACTTCAGTATGAACTCAGTATGTACACTTCAGAATGTACTCAGTATGTACTCAGTATGTACACTGCAGTATGTACTTAGTCTGTACACTTCAGTATGTACTCAGTATGTACGCTTCAGTATGTACTCAGTATGTACATACTGAAGTGTACATACTGAGTACATATTGAAGTGTACATACTAAGTACATACTGAGAACATACTGCAGTGTACATACTGAAGTGTACATGCTGAGTACATACTGAAGTGTACATACTAAGTACATACTGAGAACATACTGAAGTGAACATACTGAAGTGTACATGCTGAGTAGATACTGAAGTGTACATACTGAGTACAGACTGAAGTGTTCATACTAAGTACATACTAAGTACATACTGAAGTGTACATTCTCAGTACATACTGAAGTGTTCATACTAAGCACATACTAAGTACATACTGAAGTGGAGATACTGAAGTGTGTACATACTGAAGAGTACATACTGAAGTGTACATGCTGAGTAGATACTGAAGTGTACATACTGAGTACAGACTGAAGTGTTCATACTAAGTACATACTAAGTACATACTGAAGTGGAGATACTGAAGTGTGTACATACTGAAGTGTCTACATACTGAAGTGTACATACTGAGTACACTTCAGTATGTACACTTCAGTATGTACTCAGTATGTACACTTCAGTACACTTCAGTATGTACACTTCAGTATGTACTCAGTATGTACTCAGTATGTACACTTCAGTATGTACTCAGTATTTACACTTCAGTATGTACACTTCAGTATGTACTCAGTATGTACGTTTCAGTTTGTACTCAGTTTGTACACTTCAGTATGTACTCAGTATGTACACTTCAGTATGTACACAGTATGTACACTTCAGTATGTACACTTCAGTATGTACTCAGTATGTACACTTCAGTATGTACTCAGTATGTACACTTCAGTATGTTCTGTATGTACACTTCAGTATGTACTCAGAATGTACCAGAGGGAGATCAACAACGCCAAAAGTGTATGTATATACTTAGTTGTTCTAACTGTATGAAATGAAGATACATAAAAAGATGAATTGACTTGTTGATTCAGTTGCCATTTTGTACATACTTTACTCCTTAGTGTACTCTACTTTACTGGTCTTATTTCTGATGAGGATGATAAAGTACACATCATACTGATAGCACTATATACACCCAGACATAAACATGTTACTGGTAGTGCTGTATACACCCAGACATAAACATGTTACTAGTAGTGCTGTAAACACCCACACATACACATGTAACTGGTAGTGCTGTATACACCCACACATACACATGTTACTGGTAGTGCTGTATACACCCACACATACACATGTTACTGGTAGTGCTGTATACAACCATACATACACATGTTACTGGTAGTGCTGTATTCACCCACACATACACATGTTACTGGTAGTGCTGTATACACCCACACATACACACTTTACTGGTAGTGCTGAATACACCTACACATACACATGTTACTGGTAGTGCTATATACACCCACACATACACACTTTACTGGTAGTGCTGAATACACCTACACATACACATGCTACTGGTAGTGCTGTATACATCCACACATACACATGTTACAGGTAGTGCTATATACACACACATACACATGTTACTGGTAGTGCTATATACACCCAGACATTAACATGTTACTGGTAGTGCTGTATACACCCACACATACACATGCTACTGGTAGTGCTGTATACACCCACACATACACATGTTACTGGTAGTGCTGTATACACCCACACATACACATGTTACTGGTAGTGCTGTATACACCCACACATACACATGTTACTGGTAGTGCTGTATACACCCACACATACACATGTTACTGGTAGTGCTGTATACACCCACACATACACATGTTACTGGTAGTGCTGTATACACCCACACATACACATGTTACTGGTAGTGCTGTATACACCCACACATACACATGTTACTGGTAGTGCTGTATACACCCACACATACACATGTTACTGGTAGTGCTGTATACACCCACACATACACATGTTACTGGTAGTGCTGTATACACCCACACATACACATGTTACTGGTAGTGCTGTATACACCCACACATACACATGTTACTGGTAGTGCTGTATACACCCACACATACACATGTTACTGGTAGTGCTGTATACACCCACACATACACATGTTACTGGTAGTGCTGTATACACCCACACATACACATGTTACTGGTAGTGCTGTATACACCCACACATACACATGTTACTGGTAGTGCTGTATACACCCACACATACACATGTTACTGGTAGTGCTGTATACACCCACACATACACATGTTACTGGTAGTGCTGTATACACCCACACATACACATGTTACTGGTAGTGCTGTATACACCCACACATACACATGTTACTGGTAGTGCTGTATACACCCACACATACACATGTTACTGGTAGTGCTGTATACACCCACACATACACATGTTACTGTTAGTGCTGTATACACCCACACATATATGCTGTATGGACTTGTATACTACTGTGATATGATTGTTACATTGAAGATGATAGACAGGTTAAATTGTATGTAGGATTACAGAAGATGAAATTTGCTCAATGTGTCATGGATAGACTTGTTTTATATTGCGGATGTTTTTACTTGATAAAAAAGTCCAATGTGAATTTGTGTGTTGATGCAGCCTTCATTGGAGCGTTGTTCGTAGACAAAGGTATCGAATACTGTGAAGTCTTCTGCAACGTCTGTTTCTTCCCGCGCCTCAAAGACTTCATTATGAACCAGGACTGGAATGACCCCAAGTCCCAGCTCCAACAATGCTGTCTCACTCTTAGAGAACTGGATGGTGGCGAGCCTGACATCCCCCTATACAAGTAGGTAGTACCTGTATACTGTCCACGAGCTTGGAGGGACAATCATAATTGATTTAGGGTAATCTAGAGGGAAAAAGACTGACATGTATTTTACAAAAATTGTGATAAAGAAAGGAATAAATAAAAATAACATAATGACACTAATTTCAGGTCTAATTTTAATTATACAATTAATATTTATTATAAATTACAGAACTATTTTAAATAATTGTTGTACCCCAACTGTGCTACAGTAAAATCCAGAAACGAAATAAATAGGGGGTTACTATTATACATAAATCAGTGTGTAGTGGGACAGGGATCCCTAAACTACGGTTCAGTAGTTATAGCGATGGTAAATACAGGTCTACTGTTTATTGGATGGTTTTCTGATATAACTCTATGAATATTCAACAAAGACAAAAAAAGACATACTCTTTTACTACTCTTGTAAATTCCCTGGAAGACACAAATAAGTCTGATAAAATTGCATTTGAAAATTCATCTCTATTGCAAGTGAAAGCATTTTTATGTCAACAAAGATAAATGAATGAGGAAATAGAAGTATTTAAATGACTATTTTAATAGTTATAATTAGTGAAAAATATTCAAAGTTGACTTGGTCATTGAGAAAATAGACAGTAAGTTGACTCTTATTAACTTTGATCTCAGAATGATTGAGGCATTCGGACCGACAAACACCCGACAGTACACTGTGGCTGTGTACTTCCGCGACGAGAGATTAGCCAAGGGCATGGGCCACAGTATACAGCAGGCAGAAATGGCTGCAGCCAGGAACGCCCTCAAAGAGAGATCAGGTAAGCACGGTACCGTACTACATTGACCATACTACAGCCAGGAACGCCCTCAAAAAGAGATCAGGTAAGCATGGTACCATACTACAGCCAGGAACGCCCTCAAAGAGAGATCTGGGAAGCACGGTACCGTACTACATTGACCATACTACAGCCAGGAACGCCCTCAAAAAGCGATCAGGTAAGCCTGCTACCATCCTACACTGACCATACTACAGGCAGGAACGCCCTCAAAGAGAGATCAGGTAAGTATGGTACCGTACTACACTGACCATACTACAGCCAGGAATGCCCTCAAAGAGAGATGAGGTAAGCATGGTACCTTACTACACTGACCATACTACAGCCAGGAATGCCCTCAAAGAGAGATGAGGTAAGCATGGTACCTTACTACCCTGGCCATACTACAGCCAGGAATGCCCTCAAAGAGAGATGAGGTAAGCATGGTACCTTACTACACTGACCATACTACAGCCAGGAATGCCCTCAAAGAGAGATGAGGTAAGCATGGTCCCTTACTACACTGACCATACTACAGCCAGGAATGCCCTCAAAGAGAGATCAGGTAAGCATGGTACCATACTACAGCCAGGAACGCCCTCAAAGAGAGATCAGGTAAGCAAGGTACCATATTACACTGACCATACTACAACCAGGAACGCCCTCAAAGAGAGATCAGGTAAGCATGGTACCATACTACACTGTCCATACTACAGGCAGGAATGCCCTCAAAGAGAGATAAGGTAAGCATGGTACCATACTACACTGACCATACTACAGCCAGGAACGCCCTCAAAGAGAGATCAGGTAAATATGGTACCATACTACACTGACCATACTACAACTAGGAACGCCCTCAAAGAGAGATCAGGTAAGTATGGTACCGTACTACACTGACCATACTACAGCCAGGAAAACCCTCAAAGAGAGATCAGGTAGGTATGGTACCGTACTACACTGACCATACTACAGCCAGGAATGCCCTCAAAGATAGATCAGGTAAGCATGGTACCATACTACACTGTCCATACTACAGCCAGGAACGCCCTCAAAGAGAGATCAGGTAAATATGGTACCATACTACACTGACCATACTACAGCCAGGAACGCCCTCAAAGAGGGATCAGGTAAGTATGGTACCGTACTACACTGACCATATCAAATACTGTCAATCAGATCATGTTTGCAGCAGTGATTTTTTTCCACTTTTCATGGAAGGGTGCAACTGCAAATTAAACAATGCAGTGAACATTTCCAGTTCCCGGCATCATTGTAAGATACAGCTCCTGGCTCCATTGTAAGATACAGCTCCTGGCATCATTGTAAGATATGGCTTCAGGCATTATTGTAAGATATAGCTCACAGCATCATTGTAAGATATAGCTCCCGGCATCATTGTAAGATACATCTCCCGGCATCATTGTAAGATACAGATCCTGGCATCATTGTAAGATACAGATCCAGGCATCATTGTAAGATACAGATCCAGGCATCATTGTAAGATATAGCTCCCGGCATCATTGTAAGATATGGCTCCAGGCATAATTGTAAGATACAGATCCTGGCATCATTGTAAGACATAGCTCCAGGCATAATTGTAAGATACAGATCCTGGCATCATTGTAAGATACAGATCCTGGCATCATTGTAAGATACAGATCCAGGCATAATTGTAAGATACAGATCCAGGCATCATTGTAAGATATAGCTCCAGGCATTGTTGTAAGATACAGCTCCCAGCATCATTGTAAGATATAGCTCCCGGCATCATTGCAAGATATAGCTCCCGGCATCATTGTAAGATACAGATCCTGGCATCATTGTAAGATATGGCTACAGGCATTGTTGTAAGATATAGCTCCAGGCATCATTGTAAGATATGGCTCCAGGCATTATTGTAAGATATGGCTACAGGCATTGTTGTAAGATACAGCTCCCGGCATCATTGTAAGATACAGATCCTGGCATCATTGTAAGATACCGATCGTGGCATCATTGTAAGATATGGCTCCAGGCATCATTGTAAGATATAGCTCCCGGCATCATTGCAAGATATAGCTCCCGGCATCATTGTAAGATACAGATCCTGGCATCATTGTAAGATATGGCTCCAGGCATAATTGTAAGATACAGATCCTGGCATCATTCTAAGATATGGCTTCAGGCATCATTGTAAGATATGGCTCCAGGCATCATTGTAAGATATGGCTCCAGGCATAATTGTAAGATACAGGTCCTGGCATCATTGTAAGATATGGCTCCAGGCATCATTGTAAGATATAGCTCCCGGCATCATTGTAAGATACAGCTCCCGGCATCATTGTAAGATATAGCTCCCAGCATCATTGTAAGATACAGCTCGCATCATTGTAAGATATGGCTCCAGGCATCATTGTAAGATATAGCTCCCGGCATCATTGTAAGATACAGCTCCCGGCATCATTGTTAGATACAGATCCTGGCATCATTGTAAGATACAGCTCCCGGCATCATTGTAAGATATAGCTCCCAGCATCATTGTAAGATACAGCTCGCATCATTGTAAGATATGGCTCCAGGCATCATTGTAAGATATAGCTCCCGGCATCATTGTAAGATACAGCTCCCGGCATCATTGTTAGATACAGATCCTGGCATCATTGTAAGATATGGCTCCAGGCATTATTGTAAGATATGGCTACAGGCATTGTTGTAAGATATAGCTCACAGCATCATTGTAAGATATAGCTCCCGGCATCATTGTAAGATATAGCTCCCGGCATCATTGTAAGATACAGATCCTGGCATCATTGTAAGATACAGATCCCGGCATCATTGTAAGATACAGATCCAGGCATCATTGTAAGATATGGCTCCCGGCATCATTGTAAGACATAGCTCCAGGCATCATTGTAAGACATAGCTCTAGGCATTATTGTAAGACATAGCTTTAGGCATTATTGTAAGACATAGCTCTAGGCTAAAGACAAATATCACCATAACTGTATCAGATTATCCATGCTCGGCCCATGACAAACTGGCACTGAGAGGGAGGTCTAATCATGCAAGTATAAATTAGTTGTCAAATGAATATTTTCAGGTCACTTTTTTGAGCCAGTTTTAACCAGTCAAACATGTCTTTAAAGCAGCTATGCTATTTTTAGATAACGCCTATTGCTGCTCATCGCACCTGATTTCAATCTATTAACCTGTCCATAATTGAACTACCAGCTGATAGTGTAGATGTGTCATGTGAGGGTCACATGATAGCTGCACAAGTATATATTTCTTGATGAAAATATTCAGAGCTGTATCTAGGTATATTACCCTCGATCAGAGTAACCCTGAAATTCCCCTCCTTAACTTTGATCATACTTTCAATCCCTATCTGTTCCCTGATCCAGTTACAGACCCTTGCAGGGTAAGACATTGGAAAGACACAGAAACGTGTCAGAATAATGTAAACATTAATGTGAAGAGTCATAGCAGAAGCAGCTCTTTTTAACATTAGGTCATAATCTCATGTGAGCTTTAACACCCTAGGAGCCTCTTTTTCAGAATTAATCACTATCCTTGCTCACCACCATAAAATGTCCTTTTTCAGAATTAATCACTAGCCTTGCTCACCACCATAAGATGACCTTTTTCAGAATGAATCACTATCCTTGCTCACCCCCATTAAATGACCTTTTTCTGAATTATTCCCTATCCTTGCTCACCACCACTAAATGACCTTTTTCAGAATTAATCACTATCCTTGCTCACCACCATTAAATGACCTTTTTCAGAATTATTCCCTATCCTTGCTCACCAAAAAAGATTCCTGGAAAAGAAGCAGAAGAGGAGAAAGCATGGCCGCAAACAAGGGGGAGGAGAGAGGAGTGGAGGGGAGCGAGGATCCTCCTCAGCCTATAGCCCTTCTCCCTCCAAGTCCGCCGACAGCAAGAGGAGACAGGGTGGGCGCACACGTTGAAAGTTTGAGGAAGATAGTGGAGTGTATAATCATCTCTCTGGCACTGCCACAAACGCACTCATTAAAGAATTTAGGAAACAGACCAGGTTCTGTTATAATGTCAGATTAGAGAGGACTGTGATCGGGTAGGGAACGTGTTGACATTTAATGAGAGAGTTATTATGATAAGACCCTTTCCCTTTCATTAACGAAATAGCACACTAAAATCTACCCCAGACTGGTGGTCATGTGACACTAAAATCTACCTCAGACTGGTGGTCATGTGACACTAAAATCTTCCCCAGACTGGTGGTCATGCGACACTAAAATCTACCCCAGACTGGTGGTCACGTGACACTAAAATCTACCCCAGACTGGTGGTCATGTGACACTAAAATATACCCCAGACTGGTGGTCATGTGACACAAATCTACCCCAGACTGGTGTTCATGTAACACTAAAATCTACCCCAGACTGGTGGTCATTTGGCATTAAAATCTACCCCAGACTGGTGGTCATGTGACACTAAAATCTACCCCACACTGGTGGTCATGTTACACTAAAATCTACCTTATTTAGACTGAGTTTAATTATGGCACTTTAGTAGAATCTCTGGCTTTGCTAATTTGTTTGTGGGAGTTTAACATTAGAGGACCTTGTTTTGGTATCTAATCTGGTTGTCTCACTATCAACGAGTGGTAACGAGGAAAATATTAATTACTGGTTTCGAACTAATAAGCCCACTATGTATTTACAAAATCGCAAGAGGGGTGCACTTAATAAATCCTTTTCATGCTAAAACAGGCTGAAACAGACTGTATCCTTATGTGTTAAAACTGGCCGAAACAGACTGTATCCTTGTGTGTTAAAACTGGCCGAAACAGACTGTATCCTTGTGTGTTAAAACTGGCCGAAACAGACTGTATCCTTGTGTGTTAAAACTGGCCGAAACAGACTGTATCCTTGTGTGTTAAAACTGGCCGAAACAGACTGTATCCTTGTGTGTTAAAACTGGCCGAAACAGACTGTATCCTTGTGTGTTAAAACTGGCCGAAACAGACTGTATCCTTGTGTGTTAAAACTGGCCGAAACAGACTGTATCCTTGTGTGTTAAAACTGGCCGAAACAGACTGTATCCTTGTGTGTTAAAACTGGCCGAAACAGACTGTATCCTTGTGTGTTAAAACTGGCCGAAACAGACTGTATCCTTGTGTGTTAAAACTGGCCGAAACAGACTGTATCCTTGTGTGTTAAAACTGGCCGAAACAGACTGTATCCTTGTGTGTTAAAACTGGCCGAAACCGACATCCCAGTCTTGTTTATGGGTGCCACATTGTCACTACGGAAGCGAGTCATGTATCTGCAAGATTTTGCAGCAGCAGAAGTTTCTGTTCACAGTGGATGCTAACTGGTCATGTTTCAGTGAAAATGACGATGTTGTGGGAGTTTTAGTCGACAAAATTGGTCTATTGAACAAGTGTGCAATAATAAAAACAATCATAATTTGTATCAGTTAGACTTCAAAAATATGTGCAATCTTTCAAAGGATGAATCAAATAACTCTAGAGACAATTGGTCAAGTCTGGAACCAGAAACTGATGCTAGACCACTGGCTTATTTCCTAGTAATGTAAACACTAAAGGGCACAAAGTCTTTGGTCAAAACACTGAAGTTATATTGGCAGATCAGTGAGATAAACAACCTTTATGTTACCTAGTACTGTAAACACTGAAGTTATATTGGCAGATTAGTGAGATAAACAACCTTTATGTTACCTAGTACTGTAAACACTGAAGTTATATTGGCAGATTAGTGAGATAAACAACCTTTATGTTACCTGGTAATGTAAACACTGAAGTTATATTGGCAGTTCAGGGAGATAAACAACCTTTATGTTAACTAGTAATGTAAACACTGAAGTTATATTGGCAGATTAGTGAGATAAACAACCTTTATGTTACCTAGGAATGTAAACACTGAAGTTATATTGGCAGCTCAGTGAGATAAACAACCTTTATGTTAACTAGTAATGTAAACACTGAAGTTATATTGGCAGTTCAGGGAGATAAACAACCTTTATGTTAACTAGTAATGTAAACACTGAAGTTATATTGGCAGATTAGTGAGATAAACAACCTTTATGTTACCTAGGAATGTAAACACTGAAGTTATATTGGCAGCTCAGTGAGATAAACAACCTTTATGTTAACTAGTAATGTAAACACTGAAGTTATATTGGCAGCTCAGTGAGATAAACAACCTTTATGTTAACTAGTAATGTAAACACTGAAGTTATATTGGCAGCTCAGTGAGATAAACAACCTTTATGTTACCTAGTAATGTAAACACTGAAGTTATATTGGCAGATCAGTGAGATAAACAACCTTTATGTTAAGGGCACCAATCCTCTATCCCAGAAAAAAACGGCGGTGTATTTATAAAGTCGAATGCATTATTTTGCACAACATTTTATTATAGAGCTTGATGTTAATGAGACAGGTTTTTACTTTGGACACAAAACTAATTTTGTTGTAAGCATGAATTCATATATAAGTGTTGGTAGTTAATAGGTTTTACTTTGCCTGTATATAAGATTGCCTTTCAAACATATCAACTGTATACAGATTGTCTAGTCTACACAACGGCCTAGTCAAGGGGAAGCAACTCATCTGTCTGGTCGGATATCTGCAAAAGCAGAGGTACTGGTCCCAATTTGTTTCTCAGAGTTGCTCTTAGTAGTACTTTATATATGTGTATTGCAACATGTAGGAAAAATAGAATGTGACTAGTACCTGTGTACAAAAGCATCTTCATGATGAAAAACTGATATTGTATAAAATGAGATTTGTATAATTGATGTACTTTTGTAAATGCTGTTAACAGCAATTGTGATTCCTCGTTGTAGATGTCTATGAGTAAACGTGTACCAGAACTATAATGGTGTACCAGAACTATAATGGTGTACCAGAACTGTAATGTCTAAAGAAAGAACAAAATCATATCGTTATTTATATGTAATGTTATATAAATGGTGAAAGTGCTTATATTTGTTATAAGGTAAAAATGTTAATGTATCATTATTGATGAAGAGCTTTGTGAGACATGACGATGAAGAACTTACAATTTTGATACATCGTAATGACAGCTATCATCCATTGCTTTTTGTTTATGTTTATGAAAGGGACAATAAATGTGCTACAATTAGTCCTAGCCTGATGTGCTGTATGCCTATTGAAGCAACGATCATCGTGTAAATAAAGAATTATAATTATATAAAAGTTTTAATTGTATTTTCCCTGTCATTTTTAGCTCACCCGGCGTCCGGCGTCCGTCGTCCGGTGTCAATATTTTACTTTAAACGACTTCTTCTTAATAACCGAAAGGCCTAGGGTGTCGATATTTGGCCAGAAGCAAACTGGGATGAAGGGCTACAAAGTTTGTTAAAATTAATGACCTTCACCCATTTTCAAGGTCACAGGGGTCAAATATGTTAAAAACTTTAAACATCTTCTTCTTGATAACCAAACTGCCCAGGGTGGTGATATTTGGCCAGTAGCATGCTGAGATGAAGGGCTACAAAGTTTGTTCAAATGAATGACCTTCACCCATATTCAAGGTCACAGGGGTCAAATATGTTAAAAACTTTAAACAACTTCTTCTGAATAACCAAAATGCCCAGGGTGATGATATTTGGCCAGTAGCATGCTGAGATGAAGGGCTACAAAGTTTGTTCAAATGAATGACCTTCACCCATATTCAAGGTCACAGGGGTCAAATATGTTAAAAACTTTAAACAACTTCTTCTGAATAACCAAAATGCCCAGGGTGATGATATTTGGCCAGTAGCATGCTGAGATGAAGGGCTACAAAGTTTGTTCAAATGAATGACCTTCACCCATATTCAAGGTCACAGGGGTCAAATATGTTAAAAACTTTAAACAACTTCTTCTGAATAACCAAAATGCCCAGGGTGATGATATTTGGCCAGTAGCATGCTGAGATGAAGGGCTACAAAGTTTGTTCAAATGAATGACCTTCACCCATATTCAAGGTCACAGGGGTCAAATATGTTAAAAACTTTAAACAACTTCTTCTGAATAACCAAAATGCCCAGGGTGATGATATTTGGCCAGTAGCATGCTGAGATGAAGGGCTACAAAGTTTGTTCAAATGAATGACCTTCACCCATATTCAAGGTCACAGGGGTCAAATATGTTAAAAACTTTAAACAACTTCTTCTGAATAACCAAAATGCCCAGGGTGATGATATTTGGCCAGTAGCATGCTGAGATGAAGGGCTACAAAGTTTGTTCAAATGAATGACCTTCACCCATATTCAAGGTCACAGGGGTCAAATATGTTAAAAACTTTAAACAACTTCTTCTGAATAACCAAAATGCCCAGGGTGATGATATTTGGCCAGTAGCATGCTGAGATGAAGGGCTACAAAGTTTGTTCAAATGAATGACCTTCACCCATATTCAAGGTCACAGGGGTCAAATATGTTAAAAACTTTAAACAACTTCTTCTGAATAACCAAAATGCCCAGGGTGATGATATTTGGCCAGTAGCATGCTGAGATGAAGGGCTACAAAGTTTGTTCAAATGAATGACCTTCACCCATATTCAAGGTCACAGGGGTCAAATATGTTAAAAACTTTAAACAACTTCTTCTGAATAACCAAAATGCCCAGGGTGATGATATTTGGCCAGTAGCATGCTGAGATGAAGGGCTACAAAGTTTGTTCAAATGAATGACCTTCACCCATATTCAAGGTCACAGGGGTCAAATATGTTAAAAACTTTAAACAACTTCTTCTGAATAACCAAAATGCCCAGGGTGATGATATTTGGCCAGTAGCATGCTGAGATGAAGGGCTACAAAGTTTGTTCAAATGAATGACCTTCACCCATATTCAAGGTCACAGGGGTCAAATATGTTAAAAACTTTAAACAACTTCTTCTGAATAACCAAAATGCCCAGGGTGATGATATTTAGTCAGTAGCATACTAGGATCAAGGGCTACCAAGTTTGTTTAAATGTATGACCTTGAATCATATTCAAGGTCACAAGGAGCAAATATGTTCAAAATATTTAAACAACTTGTTCTGAATAATCAAAAGGCTCAGGATGTTGATATTTAGTCAGTAGCATGCTGGGATCAAGGACTACTATGTTTGTTAAAGTGAATGACTTTGACTTATATTCAAGGTCACAGGGGTCAAATTTGTTTAAAATCTTTAAACGACCTCTTCTGAATAACCATGGGTCCCAGGATGTTGATACTTTGCAAATTGCAACCTGAGATGAAAGGCTATAAAATTTGTTCGACTTTCAATCACAGGGGTGAAATATTTTATAAAAAAATTACAGGGTCTTTTGAATGAATTTTAATCATAAATACTGATATTTTGCCTGTAGCTTTATTGTAGATCACTTTTAAGGTTACAAGTGTGAGATTTATACCAGGTGAGCGATGCAGGTCCATTGGGCCTCTTGTTTTTCTGTACGGTGGAACCTTATAATTCAGACATTTCTCTTCCAAGAAAATCAAATCTGGATAGTGGATTAGTGGCTGCTGGATAGTAGGAGAATTAGTGATGGATGGATCGTAAGGCAACCAGATAAGTGGTGGCTGGATAAAGACAACCAGACTAGTGGTGGCTGGATAGTGGGACAGCCAGACTAGTGGTGGCTTGATATTTAAACAACCAGATTAGTGGTGGCTTGATATTTAAACAACCAGATTAGTGGTGGCTGGATAGTGGGGCAATCAGATAAGTGGTGGCTAGATAGTGGGACAACCAGACTAGTGATGGCTGGATAGTGGTGCAATCAAGTTTGTAGTGGCTAGATAGTGGGACAACCAGATTAGTGGTGGCTGGATATTATGACAACCAGACAAATGGTGACTGTGATATTGGGACAACCAGAGTAGTGGTGGCTAGATAGTGGGACAATCAGATTAGTGGTGGCTAGATAGTAGGACAATCAGATTAGGGGGTGACTGGATAGTGGGACAACTAGATCAGTGGTGGCTTGATATTGGGACAACCAGACTAGTGGTGGCTGGATATTGGGACAACCACAACCCGACTAGTGGTGGCTGGATAGTGAGGTAATCAGTTAGTGGTCGCTGAATATTATGACAACCAGATTAGTGGTGGCTGGATAGCTATATAGTGGGACAATCGGATTAGTTGTTGCTGATTATTATGACAACCAGATTCGTGGTGGCTGAAAAGTGGGACAACCAGATTAATGGTGGCTGGATAGTGGGGCAATCAGATTAGAGGTGACTGGATAGTTGGACAACTAGACTAGTGGTGGCTGGATGGTGGGACAACCAGACTAGTGGTGACTGGATGGTGGGACAGCCAGACAAGTGGTGGCTGGATATAAGGGCAAACATATTAGTAGTGATTGTAATAGTGGGACAACCAGACTAGTGGGGACGGGATAGTGGGACAACCAGTTTAGTGGTGACTAGATAGTGGGACAACCAGGCTAGTGGTGACTGGATGCTGGGACAACCAGACTAGTGGGGACGGGATAGTGGGACAACTATATCAGTGATGGCTTGATATTGGGACAGCAATAAGAGAAGTGGTGGTTTAATAGTGAGACAACCAGATTAGTGGTGACTGGATAGTGGGACTACCAGCCTAGTGGTGGCTGGATAGGGGGACAACCAGACTAGTGGTGACTGGATGCTGGGACAACCAGACTAGAGGTGACTGGATGGTGGGACAACCAGGATAGTGGTGACTGGATGGGGGGACAACCAGACTAGTGGTGACTGGATAGTGGGACAACCAGATTAGGGGTGATTGGATAGTGGGACTACCAGACTAGTGGTGGCTGGATAGTGGGACAACCAGTTTAGTGGTGACTAGATAGTGGGACAATCAGATTAGGGGGGAACTGGATAGTGGGACAACTAGATCAGTGTTGGCTTGATATTGGGACAACTAGATTAGTGGATATTGGGACAACCAGACTAGGGATGACTGGATAGTGGGACTACCAGACTAGTGGTGGCTGGGTAATGGGACAACCAGACTAGTGGTGACTGGATGGTGGGACAACCAGACTAGTGGCGACTGGATAGTGGGACAACCAGATTAGTGGTGGCGGGATAGTGGGACAACCATATTAGTGGTGACTGGATAGTGGGACTACCAGATTAGGGATGACATGATAGTGCGACAACCAGATTAGGGGTGACTGGATAGTGGGACTACCCTGGATAGTGGGACAACCAGACTATAGGTGGTGGCTGGATAGTGGGACAACAGGATTAATGATGGCAGGATAGTGGGGCAATCAGATAAGTGGTGGCTAGAGAGTGGGACAACCAGACTAATGATGGCAGGATAGTGGGGCAATCAGATAAGTGGTGGCTAGAGAGTGGGACAACCAGACTAATGATGGCAGGATAGTGGGGCAACCAGATTAG